ATGGAACGGAGGATTAATTAGTAACATTTTTTAAAAAATTGTAAATTGGACATCTCTACATTAATGTTAGTTTTTCTCCGATGCATTACACCATTTTTTATATAAAAAAGAATATTCTAAATATTGTTTTTTCGATACTTTAACATTTTACATTTATAATATAAAAAATAATGCATTGTACCATATAAAAATAACAAAATATATTAAATTTTTGTTTAATCATCACCAAACATATTACACTTTGGTATAAACAAAACCGGTTAGTTATACATAATTTCAGAGACCAAGATTAGACATAGGTGAGGCATAAAATCTAATCATAAAAATTAGATTTCAACGCAACCACATAGACCACACAAATTAAAATCAAAGACATAGACCACACACAACCACATAGACCACACATATAGATTTTAGATTTTCAACATACCTGACGAATGCGATTGTTATAATTAGAACACATAATCACCCATCCTGTAAACAGGGCCAACATGACGAAGTATATCAATCAGCTCCTCCTCAAACCTGTTTGTACCACCGGAAAGTCGAAGGTAGTCATCCAACCTATGAATATCAAAGCTTCTAGCTGAGAAGCGCGAAATACTCATATCCCTGAGACGGCGTACTCCAGAGACATTGAAGCGAAACAGAACGTAGATATTAGGTTCCATCCTGAAGTATTCTTGATCCATATTCGAAACAAGCAGAGTACCGCTACAACTGAAATATTCTTGATCCTGATCCGGTTCCATCCTGAAGAAATGCATCAAAAATTACATAAAGACAAATTGAATTGAAAATCGCAGAAAAGACAAGTTGAAGTTGAATCGCAGATAAAGAGAACAGTGAAAAATTGCAACATCAAAACGCAACATACAAACATAGATGAGTTAAAAATTGGATTAAATCAAAAATAGCAGAAAAAATAAATTGAATCGCAGATAAAGAGAACAATGAGAACATGTTTGAGTTACTTGAAGAAGTTATACCGATTTAACGAGAGATTGAACTTTTTATGCACATATAATAACAACAAGGGAAGAACCAACCAAACCGGTCTAACTTCTTCAAGCTAAACCAACTCAAACCTGACCCAACCCTCAACAACTATTAACTATTAATCTAGCAAAATCAAAAACTTGGATAATTAGACCTATATTATAATATATAAATATCTATTTTCTAGAGGATAATTATAGAGGATAACTATCTATGATTATTATATTTTTAACCGACTT